ACAATAGTGGCAATCTCTTCGAACAACGGAGTTCTTCCTCCACTAAAATATTTTTTATTACTTTCAAAAAAATTCTGTGTTCAGCACATGTTATGTCATGCATGCTAGCCAAGAACTGAGTTGGAATCCCCATAAGGTTTTGAAAGGAGAGCCAGGTAATTTGATAGAGTTTGGAACGTTGATTACAACTGTGGACACAGAGACTGCTATGTGAACTGAGAAAGTTATGAGCAGTGAAAATTGGCAAAAAAAAACGGTATATGAGACGAGCCAACGTCGGCAACTCAAAGTAGCCGTGGCCCTCGCTTTGCAGTCAGCAGGTGGTGTGTTTGTTCCCCGATGGCACTGCATCCAACATAGGGTTCCACTAGAGAAAGAGAAAAAAGTCATAACGGGCGCCATTTTTATGATCATTACTACTTCTTGCTCCTGGCAGCTGGGGCTCCGATGGTAGACTGGATGGGTTACAAGGACCTTGAAATGATGCCAGAGCCACGGTCAGAAACGTTTGCTCCCCATTCCATCACTTAGGCCCACCCCTGGTCATGCGTGCCCAATTTGAATCACGGCAGCGCGAATCGAAAATGATCTCAAAAGTGGAGCCCGTTCTGGACCCTCTTGTCCTTCTTTGGCAGTAAAACTCTCTTTCGGGTGCTTCGCGCTGAGTTATTAGCAGCACTTTCGCCCTAGGCAGGAATGAACCAGCAAATCTAGAACGTTCATTTCAAAGCTTTTCGAACCAAGTGATAACTAAAGGATTTTCCTTTCTATCCTAGGATAAAACTTTAGTTAGCACTTGAATGTCATGCATATTATTGGTTTGACCTTTATCCACAGCTAGAGGTGCGGGTCCGATACCCGCCTCCTACGAAATTTTGCTTGTAAAATAGCATTCCTATGAAACGATCGCAGCCCAGACCGTGGCGTTTAAACAGCATTTCCCAAAAAAACCAAAACTATAATATCTCTGCTGTATGTCAAGCACAACGTGCAGAATTTTTCACGACCGGGATTCGACACAACGCACTGGTAGGCAACATGCACCTTTTTGCCAACATGACTGCAGAACTCTCGAAAAGTTCACGCAGCACTCCCAAGTATCCATATCTATGGGGCCGATATCATAGATTGCGAATCGAACGATGTACCAGCGACTCGGCACTGCCTGAAAGTGGCGGGACCAACGTTTAAAGGAAGTCCACTTTAAAGGACCACACTGTTTGAAAGTGGAGGGACTTGTTGACTCGCTGGTACATCGTTCGACTCGCTGGCGCAAAGTTCGATTCGCTGGTGCAACGTTCGATTCGCTGGCGCAACGCTCGGATCCAGCGATTCGCTAGCGGCTCGATTCGCAAACTATGACATCGGCCTAATCGCGTTCAAGACTCGATCGATTTACCTAGGGCTCTCGTCAAAGTTCCACAAGAGGAAAACAGCCAATCCCTGGTGCAACTAAGAGTTCTCGCAATGATTACCTGCATTTAGGGTGTCCCGGGAACCTACGACAGAAACGTCGTGCTCGCCTCCGCCACACATGCTCTGGAGGAGGTGGTCCATGGCTCCACGTCTGATATACTACCAGTTTGAACACGTTAATTTAAGCACGCGAAATATTTTCGTGAACTGTAACTCCTTTCTTTTTGTTGGCGTGGAATTGCAACCATTCACTCATGATTTAGTACAGCGGCGGTATTTAAGATAGCGGTTAACATTTAGATTTAGATTGTTGTGGGTTTCTCCTCCAGTTCTAACCATTTGAGTCATTTTCGTCGTCCGTTCCCGTTGGGTAGTTGGTTTGTAGCTCGGAAAGGCACTTGTAAATTCATTAAAAAGTCTGTTTTCCAGAGTTTTTCGCTGCTTGTTTGCAGATCAAGGCAACTAGCAGTGAAAGCTATAACTATTGATGAGCTACAGCAATTAACCTCTTTAATTGCCTGTACGATAGCTAGGAGTAAATTTCATAGTGGAGCTTATGGCGAGAGGCGGTCCTCCAACAGGGAAAGGCTCCAGGTCGCCATGGCCATTCAAGAAGAGATGTATACCACTAGATGTGCCTTTGAACGCTGATCTCAAATCTACCTTCCAAATCTGCTAAACGATTCTCTGAATGGAGTTATGAAGCAAAACAGCGCAACCAAACGTCGTAGGATCGGCCCCTCATCGCGTTTACTGTCTTGCGTTCTTCAGAAATTAGGCTAAATAAGCTATTAAAGCCTTTTAGCTGTACTGCTGAAGAAGGCAAAACAGTAGACGCGATCAGGGGCCGATCCTACGACGTTTTGACTGCAAATCCCGACCACTGCCGTTGCGCTGTTTTGCTTCATAACTCCTCAGAGAATCGTTTAGCAGATTTGGAAGGTAGATTTGAGATCAGCGTTCAAAGGCACATCTAGCGGTATACATCTCTTCTTGAATGGCCATGGCGACCTGAGAGCCTTTCCTTGTAAGATTTATTAAAGAGGCACTTCACTAGGCGACTGGTTGATAATGGGACTACGACTTATTCCCTTGTAAGACTAACTACGTTCCCGACTAATCCTGGGAAATCTAGGATGTCCCGGAAATCAACAGTGTCAATAGTATGAGATAGCTGCTACGGAACATTTATCAAGAAAAGGGGCCGAAAGTTACTGTCGAAAACGCTTCTTTCTACAAACTTTTCGGGGATTCTATA